TGAGGAAAAGGGCGAAACAGGTTACTTAACAACTATGCTAAAAGGACTTCATTTTCTACACTGGCCTAGTTTCTTGATGGGAGCTTCAGAGACAACATCTCAAAGGTGCTGTTTCCTCCTGACCGGCTGAGTTCTGACCTGTCATGCCTTTCTCCTGTCCAGTCATTTCTCACTTACCTGAACACAGGCCTCTTGTAAGCTCTCTGCCAACCATCCAGGGCTCTTTCCCTTGTTCCAATAAGGAGATCACTTGAGGCTTAGGAGTGTAAAGTCCTGCTCACAAGAAAAGATATGGAATATGGTTATGCTGTGGGTAAATGAGATCTAGTCCCTTGATGATCAAGGAAGAGATGCCACTACAGGAACAGCCAAAGAAAGAGGAAGACGAAGCCTCAACCACAGCCCACTGGAGTTGCCCATTTCCCATTCTTCCTTTTCATTTCAGCTCAAACCATTTGTTTGGTAATAAAGAATAGAAATTCAGCTAGTAACTTGAAAAGCAGCTGAGAAATTCACTGTGGAAGAAGCAGACATTCCAGAGGAGAACTGGGAATCACTGGTACGTATGCCCTTACCCATTGAAACCAGATTGCTGTAGTTCTCCAACATCACATCTCTGTATAAGTCCCTCTGAACAGGGTCCAGGCAGTCCCACTCCTCCTGAGAGAAGTCTATGGACACATCACTGAACATCACTGATCCCTGAAACAATAAACATATGTCTTACTTGTGTAATTAAAAAAATATATCAGAGACTACTGTGCTTGTATTGTGGGGTAATACAAAATGAGTAATTATATTGGTGTCACTGAGAACCTGTATCTTTAGATCTCAGAAACAGATGCAAGAGTAGGAAGTTCATATTAAATTTCTGACTCTGTCCATTGAAAAGGACTAGAAATGATGACTAATCCAGTAGTAACGAGCATCCCTAGTGTCTAGATTGTGGTTTCTTTTCTTTTCTTTCTTCTTTTCTTTTTTTTGAGACAGAATTTCACTTTTGTCACCCAGGCTAGAGCGCAGTGGCGCGATCTCAGCTCACTGCAACCGCCTCCTGGGTTCAAGCAATTCTCCTGCCTGAGCCTCCTGAGTAGCAGGGATTACAGGCACGTACCACCACACCTGGCTAATTTTTGTATTTTAAGTAAAGACAGGGTTTCACCATGTTGGCCAGGCTGGTCTCAAACTCCTAATCTCAGGTGATCCACCCGCCTCGGCCTCCCAAAGTGCTGGGATTATGGTGTGAGCCACTGCACCCAGCCTAGATTGTGGTTTCTAAGTATCATTTTCAAATAAAAGAAACCAAGGTTCTTTGGGAAAAGAACTAATTTCATGAAATCCACAAGAGCAAATTTTACAAAATGCACAGGATGAGTCTGAACGTCTTGTTATACCAAAAAGCAAGAAAGCAACCAAAAACTGTTAGGATCATGCTGATAAGACTAGAGGCCACCTTGAAGACACTCCCACTGGCCAACACTGTTACAACTCGCATATCAAATTATTATAATTTTTTTTGTAATAGGATTTATAAATTTAGGGTTTGAAAATCTTACAAAAGTTATCTTAAGCCACATTAAATAATGCTATCTTGACAATGACATTGCAAAACTAATAAAATAAAGATACTAGAGATATGTAAAAAGTACAGGGAGATGAGGCACATGTTGGGGGAAATCTAGAGAAAATGTGGTATTTGGGTATTTAG